CAAAGTATGTACTCAGACAGTAGTTGCAGAGACCTCTGCTGCACAACGGTCGATAATCTCGCTGTACTGTCTTTGTGCATACTTTGAGGTATCTTCATAATAACCTCATATTTTGACAATAGACATCTCTGTTATTTAGTAAATTACGTAAACACATGTGCTATTAAAAAAGCTAATACGATAATTTTATTAAAGAATTGTAAATTATTGTATTAATCTTGTCTTGTGTACCTAGCACAGACTTACGTTAAATCCCTAGCATTGAACTGGATTACCCGCATCTTCAGCACTGCAGAGAAAATGTCCGTCCTTTTTAGTGTCCTGAACCTTTCGATGAACTTCTAACCTGATATCAAACTAAAAATCTCACAAGCAGCGAAAAGCAGGAATGTATCTTGCATATTTAAATGCTAAAGAGAGACATGAGTTGGTTGTTTCAGCTGATTGTAATCCAACAGGATTCTAGTTACTTGAATGTCTGTATTTTTATAGACCATTTCCCATTCACCATGAGATCCTGTGTTATGCATGAAATCGGACGTAAAAACAGGACAGACTATTAAGGTCATAACATTGTAGTGTTGTCTAAACATTATGTGGGATCATTGACCCTCCAGTAGAGTATGATGAGATTCAACAAATGCTAAAGTATTTGTGGGGGGTATTTTCATTTTTATTGATGTGCTAAACTCATTTAATGATGGCCAATGCTTTTTAAAGTTAGGGTATCTTAACGCAATATTCCCCTCTTAACCTTTTCACCACCAGTTCCTGTTTTTCATCACAAAACAAACTCACAAAATAGTCCTATTTATAGTCTGCCCTTTCTTTCAAAAGATTGGGACAAAAATAGACAAATTTGTTTAGTAAAAACTAAATATTGACATAAATTTTGTCTGTTGGCTTCAAAATTAAAGTTTTGGAGAAATATTGAAGAATATAAGAAAAACTATCAGAAAAATTTGGTTGAGAAAGTCTGGTCGTAAAAAAGTTAAAGATCAACATTTCGACATTGAGCTATAAAAAAAAAAATTCGAATTCAAAATCAAATTGTTGCATTTTTGTGGAGACGTTTGGCCTGTGCAGTTCACACGGTAATAGCAGTGGCAGAAAATCACCTATCGACTGAGTATTCTATTTTAGGTCTCTTCTCAATTGACATTCCATTTACAAAATGAAATGGAGAAGAGTGGAAAACAGAAGAGAATCAGATGTGATTTGGAATTTACAGATGAGTTTGAAACTGTCTGCGTCACACATTACTTTATATTGTTTTTATTGGTTGGATTCTTGACTTTAAATCGACGTTTTCTTCTCAATTCCACTTTTGTCTGTGTGTCTAAGATCAAAATAAGTCATGAACTCTGAAAACAATGGAATATACAGGGTTATGCATATGAAAAACCGAGTAAATACAAATAGTATACACTTCTATTGGAGATGCATTTTTTAATAGAAGAAATACAGTAATTCACACTGTATATTCTACAAATCCTAATTAATAATAATCAGTTAATCATTCTCAAATTTTGGATATTAAATATGTTTTTTAACTTTGCTTGATATACCATATTTGCTATGTAAGAGTGTAAACAGTAAACTGTTTAATTTTCGCTGCTTAAAAATGTCTTTGATTTGGTGATGTATTGTCAAAATTTGTTTCAAATTTTGCAGACACTCCATTAATAGAACAGTAGAGAAATTTTCACTTTTAAAAAATTGTGTGATTTTTAACACAAAATATCCAAGGTAACGAAAATTTGCCTCTTAAATTTACATTTTAATACTTACGTAATGACAAGTTTATTCAAATAGACAATGTGAGCTTGTTCTCTCACATACATGTACAACAACTTTGGAAAAATATTTCTTAAATATATTACTGTAAACCCATGTATTTTTCGATAGATATGAAAGTCAATTTTACTTTAAAATGCAATTAACTAAATTTCAGATCATGCATGCATTGAACAAACTACAACAAAAAAGGTTGTACCCATTTCAGTTCTGGCGGAAAGTAGGGTTTTCTGAAAAATTGCCTGGAAATGAGAAAAAAAATAATTACCGGTATAGTCCTAGATGTGATGAATAATATTACTTAGTTTCATACTTCAGTAATTACTATTGTAATACTGGCATTGTCAATTACAAGGGTTCAATATTTTGGTCTGTCCATCGGTCCTGAACAGGTTTATTTCACCTGAGACTGGTAATTGCGGAAATTGTCTTCCCTGCTCTCCATTCTGTTTTCTGTTTTAATATTTTGATCACCTGTCTGGTTCTGCCTATTTTCTAAATAGTTAATTGTGTTAACCTACATTTAATCTACAACATTGCTTGCTGATCAGAATTTCATGAAACCAGGAAAAAATTATGTTTTAGTACAAAACAAAATAATTGAATTCTGAAATCAATAATATATACACATACGTACATGTATATGAAAAAATGAGGAAATTCAAAAAGGATTTAATTATTAATTATTTTTAAACTATAAACGTGTTAAAGTACAGGTAGTCTATATTGAAATACTATTTATATGTATGCTATGGGACACATCACTCACTGCATATCTACAAGCATTGCTCTGGGTTATATACACATGTTACTGGACACTATGTTGACTTTATATGTAATGAGTTTTTCTCCACCCATAGTGTTATTATGAATGTTTGCAATGTTTTTTAACCCTCTCTCTGAGTGCAGAAATCAACTTCAAATACCATCTGCGAAAGAGCATCATTCTGATGAAATTTTAAACTTTTTTTTTTTTATCAAAAACTAGAAGCAGAGTCACATTTTGTCTCTTGAGTCCAAAATTAATTTTGAGTACAGTGAAAATTACTGAAATTGTGAACAAGTTTACCGCATTTTGAGGGGGGGGGGAATTCAGTGCTCAACGGGTTAATTTTATTACAATGTAAATCAGTGATACCAGTACATTTAATTATACTGGTACTGAGGTGTTCTGATTTGGGGGAGAGGGGGGTAGTTGAAGATGGAGTGTGATGATTAATATTGTTTTCACTATTAAAGTTACTGTAATTTCATAGTGCATTGTGGGGGTCTATTTTTCCTCGGGAGTTGGTTTATTCAATGTTTAAACTTTAATGAGAGCCCCCCTGAATTTTGAATGGTCCATCCCTAATGACAACAATACAGCAGAGAAACTTGTGTAACACTGTAGAGATAGAATTAAGCTATTGTAGAAAGTGCACAGACTGATTAATTAGATTGAACATTATGCTAGTGGAATGTTGGACTTGTTTTTTCTTGACCTCACATGACATGTATAACAAAATTTCCCCATGCCTCATCATCATTACTAGTTCTATATTTGACTGATTGATTACGTAAACACATCCCTTTGAGTGACCTTCAAGATGGTGGGAATTTTATTTATTTTGGATGGTAATAAATTTCAAATCCAGTGCTTTAATTTGACAGCGAGTGAGAAAGTGTGAATGGAGTTAAGTTTTTGCATGTTTGGTGCATCAATTGTTTCCAGATAGTGAAAAATGTCTGTCTCTGTGTCCAGCATGGATTGACTCTTGTGGTAGTCTTTTGTTTAATACAATGTACATTGTAACTCTTTGTGTTTAGGCCAGACTTTTATTATCCCTTGTTTCGCGAACCCGCGAATGAACAGGAGCCGAAAATGAAATAAAAATAAAATTTTATTTCAGCGTAATTTCTCGCGCCCGCCGACTTGTAAGTGCAAGAAATTGTTGAAAAAAACTTATTTTTATCTTCATTATTTTTTTTCACATAACAAACCCAAGTTGCATTTTCGTTGGATTATCATGATCAAAATACCGAAGTCTCGCACAGATGAGAAACAAGGTTATACATGGAATAAAATAAAATTTTATTTCATTTCTTCTCTTCGACCAATGATCTCACTTACAATTCTTTGAGAATCACACAAATCTAATGGGGGGAAAAAAAAAAATTTTAATTTTTTTCTGCCCTCCTCAAAAAAATTGCCTTATAAAAACTTGAGAAACAAGGAATAGAAAAAATTTGGCCTTAGAGATCAGACTTAAATATTGTTAGATTGTTCTTTAACCTTTTCACCACCAGTGCCCTCTTTTCATCACAAATTAATTCAATTTATATTCTGCACTTTTCTTCAGAAGATTGGGACAAAAATAGTCAAAAATAGTAAAAACTGAAAATTGACTCAAATTTTGTCTGTTGGCTCTGAAATTTGGTTCATTTCTAGAATTTTTTTTAAAAAAATGCAGAATATTTGGGTGAAAAAGTGAAATTTCCGTGGTGAAAAGCTTGAATTTTATTTCAACAATGTACATGTATTTTGCACATGCTGTATATCACTATGGGACTCGTATGGAACACGATAAAGGTTGTGACCATTCTAGACATCTTCAAATATTTCCTACATTTTGCACAAAAAATGTACATTATTTGTGACATGCTTCTTTTGAGCTAAATACCATATTCAAATATGTCACTGTAAACTGAGAACAGACTTCTCAAGGTAGAGTGAACCAAGTGAGTATTGGTCACCAGATCCGAGAGGAGAATAACACACTGGAGAGGAGCACTTGTAGCCAAGGTGTTTATTGCTCAACTGCTAGACCTGGAACTGAGTCTAAATACTCACAAGATGTTCCATACAATGTATCAATACCATTATGCAAATAACTAAACTTAACGTCATAGCCTCAAATCTTTACAATCCTTTCTCCTTACAGAGGATTAAAACTCACTTTTAAAAACTTTGAAATACACTTAAAAATACTGATATCATTATGCAAATAACTAAACTAAATGTCATAGCCTCAAATCATTACATTCACAAAAATGTAACTGTCCTTGAACAAGTAAAACTTTTCTGTACTGTCTCATATATTTAGGTCTTGTCTGTGTAATTTTTGTTTTTATTTTATTAAGTTTGTTTGTTTATTTGTTTGTTTATTTATTTATTTATTTATTTAATTATTAATTCATTCATTTTTCTATCTATCTATTTGTAGGGCTTCCTTGGAACAATCAGAACAATCTATTTGTGAACTGGAAGGCAAGCTTGATAAGGTAAGTGTGGGGATATCCATAATCTATTTAGGAACGTTGACTTAGGAAAATCACCCAGTCACGCGTTAACCATTCGATAGTTTTAATCAGAACACCAAGAGATTACAAGATGATGGCACAACAGCAAAAGTGACAGATTGTCAAACAAAATAACAAAATTTGAGTGGCAAACCATGCGATTGGCTGAATGCTATATGTACATTGTATCTAAATATAACAATGATGTAATCGTAAAAATTCTAACATAAACTAAGTTATGTATGGGTTCCTGTATTAGGTTTCTTACCAGGGAATTATAGAGTAGTGTCCCCCCCCCCCCTGACTCTTTAATTTTGGATAAACAATTTAGCATAGCAATAAAAACAATACAGATAACTACCATATTGTATTGTTATGCAAATTACCTAATACTTCCGAGGGTGAGAAACACTGTGTATGTGCTCAAAACCATTGAGTAATCAAAATCCAGTATGTTCGTAATTTGATATAATTTGATAAAACCTGTATCCGTTGAGTTTTACTGTCAAAATAAATGTATTCAAATGTAAATTACAAAGTAAATGCTCAAAAGCTGAAAAAAATAATAAATATTTAAAGCGAGGGAGTCATCACCTGCGGATGCGTCACAATTCACAAAATATAGTTTGCACTATTCTTCAGAAGATTGGGACAAAAATAGCCAATTTTTAGCTCCGCTGTCGACTTTGTCGAGCGGAGCTTATCATATGAGTGATTGTCCAGCGTCATCCGGTGTCCGTCGTCCATGTCAATGTTTTACTTTTTTGACTTCTTCTTGAAAACTACAAGCCTGAACGCTTTGATACTTGGTTTATATGTACCTTGGGTAGACCTCTCTCAGATTTGTTCATTTCATGATCTTATCTTCAATTCTCTAATTTTGGTGAATATTTTTGTAATTTTTGGTAAAAAGTTATATTTTCGACTTCTTGTTAAAAACCGCAAGTCCAATTGCTTTGATATTACATATATAGGTACTACATGTGTATCTCTCTCAGATTTGTTCATATTGTAATGATATCTTCAATTCTCTAATTTTGGTGAATATTTTTGTAATTTTTGGTAAAAAGTGATATTTTCGACTTCTTGTTAAAAACTGCAAGTGCAATTGCTTTGATATTACATATATAGGTACTACATGTGGACCTCTCTCAGATTTGTTCATTTTGTGATGATATCTTCAATTCTTTAACTTTGGTGAATATTTTTGTCATTTTTGGTAAAAAGTGATATTTTCGACTTCTTGTTAAAAACCGCAAGTCCAATTGCTTTGATATTACATATACAGGTACTACATGTGAATCTCTCTCAGATTTGTTCATTTTGTGATGATATCTTCAATTCTCTAATTTTGGGAATATTTTTGTCATTTTTGGTAGAAAGTGATATTTTCGACTTCTTGTTAAAAACCACAAGTCCAATTGCTTTGATATTACATATATAGGTACTACATGTGGACCACTCTCAAATTTGTTCATTTCATGATATCTTTAATTTTCTAATTTTGGTGAATATTTTTGTCATTTTTGGTAAAAAGTGATATTTTCGACTTCTTGTTAATAGGTACTACATGTGGACCACTCTCAAATTTGTTCATTTCATGATGATATCTTTAATTTTCTAATTTTGGTGAATATTTTTGTCATTTTTGGTAAAAAGTGATATTTTCAACTTCTTGTTAAAAACCACAAGTCCAATTGCTTTGATATTATATATATAGGTACTACATGTGGACCTCTCTCAGATTTGTTCATTTTGTAATGATATCTTCAATTCTCTAATTTGGGTGAATATTTTTGTCATTTTTGGTAAAAAGTGATATTTTCTTTTTGTTAAAAACCACAATCATTTATGGTTAAAAATTATATTTTTGAATTCTTGTTGAAAACAAGTCCCATTGCATTGATACTATGCATATTGTTCATTTTCTAATGATATCTTCTGTTCTTTAATTGAAATGTGCATTGCTAACAGCGGAGCTATCTCAGCCGAGAGACTGCTTGTTTTAAGTAAAAACTGAAAATTGAGTAAAATTTTGTCTGTTGGCTCCAAAATTAGGGTAAATTTCCCAAAATATTGAAGAATATAATAAAAAAAGTGCAGACAAGTCTTGTGGTGAAAAAGTAAAGAGGATGAGAATATTTACAATTTAAGCCACTCTGGGGTCTGCCCCAACCTGACTTGATTGCTGGATTTGTTATTTTTGAGCTGTTTTTAATCTTGTGTAGCTGGTCATGGATGAGGTTTTTGGGTTTCTTCATTATTTGTAAAATTGTCACTGACAAGTGAAATTCACACATCACACACCGGAAATTAAATCAGTGTGCAGTAATTAATTCTATAAAACCATGTCATCAGTTGAGGAGTGAGACTAATTGATTATGTACGGTGCAATTTGAGAAGTGAACCACATCTGTGGGCAATGCCTGCAAGTTACATTTATATGGTAGTTGTTATTTCCGGTTGTATGATGTTTCTCAATTTTCTAAATGATCAGTGGTCAGTGCTTTTTGTAAGTTACCTTATACCATGACAGCATGCTGGCTTGATCATTAAATGCTTTGTGATGTCTCAGCTTACATATGTCAAGAATATAGTACTAGAGAAAAAGGAAATGCATGCAAGGAACTGTAAATACTATGTTCATTCACGTGGTTATAATTTTACTATTTTCGCCATCCAGTGAAACAGGCAATATTAAAACCAGATGAAAATGTAAAAACACAGAGCTTGTGTAGTTTGATTTAAAAATTTAATGAGTACACCCCCCTCCCTCTTCCCCTCTCTTCGGACCTTTGAAGTCACAGTTTTCTCACCAAATGTTGATGAAACATTTTTATCGTTTTTCTATATTTTTTTGTGTGTACCACATAATTTTCCATTACTTACAAGTCTTAATAAATTTAAAAAAATGGCCAAAAATTCAATTGCTTTGATATTACATGTACATATATAGATACTACATGTAGACCTTTCACAGATTTGTTCATTTCATGATGATATCTTCAATTCTCTAATTTTGGTGAATATTTTTGTCATTTTTGGTAGAAAGTGATATTTTCGACTTCTTGTTAAAAACTGTAAGTCCGATTGCTTTGATACTATACATATTGTTCATTTTCTAATGATATCTTCTGTTCTTTAATTGAAATGTGCATTGCTAACAGTGGAGCTATCTCAGCCGATAGGCTGCTTGTTTTTATTTGTTTTGTTATTATTTTGTTTGTTTGTCTTTCTTTACATCTGTATTGCATTTTACTCAAAACCGATACAAATGCAATAAAGATTATTATAATGATACATTCTTTATTTTTAGCTTGATGACCTTCTCTCCCATCAGTCAACAACTTGATTTTTGGGATTCCATTTTTAATTTGAAGTCCCTATAAAATTAGTTCCTGTCAGAGAGAACACTGCCCTGTAAGATGCTAATCACCCTTCCCCAAACCCCCATTTAATTGTCCCCTGCAGTGGTACTTGTGTGTACTATTTGTAATTAAAGCCATTGGAAACCATTTAACTTATCAGTCAATTGACCAATTAGCTTCCATCTATGTAAACACTAATAATTACAAGGTTATTACCTATATAAGATTTAGTATCATGGGGGACATCTATTTTCAAGGCCAACATATTTAAAAATACCATAGAATAATTGACAGTGTGCAGGGGATATCAGGTTATTTTGAAGTGCGTTAAAGACAGTCTGAATCTATGCCAGGATGGCCTCTGTTGTGTCTAAGGAATTTCAAGCCTTATGAACAAATTAAAACTTAAAGCAAAATCAAAACTTATCGATTGAGCCTAGCTTACATGTAGGTGTTGACCATTAAAATATATTGGTGGGTGGGACAAGGGAGGGGGAGGGGCTGGGCGGGGTAGGTGATTTTGGAAAAAAAAATATACTGGGAGCTATGAAGGAAAGTATTGGCCTAGAGTTCAAATCCCAGCAGGCATGTTTAGTTTCAATCTTCAAACTGACATAAGAGATGATAAACAACAAAGGAAGTGCTACGACCTGTTTATATTTCATATTTACATGAACATTTTAAAGATTACTGATGTTTTCATATACTGTAGAATACTTTATTTTCACTTGGAATTTATTTTCGCTGAAGGGATGATTCCATGAAAATAAAATCCAGCGAATATACTTTTTAGCTTCGTTGTCGACTTTGTCGAGTGGAGCTTATCATATGAGTGATTGTCCATCGTCGTCCGTGTCAATGTTTTACTATTTTGACTTCTTCTTGAAAACTACAAGCCTGAATGCTTTGATACTTGGTGTATATGTACCTTGGGTAGACCTCTCTCAGATTTGTTCATTTCATGATGATATCTTCAATTATCTAATTTTGATGATTAATTTTGATGAAAAGTGATGTTTTTGAATTCTTGTTGAAAACAGCAAGTCCTGTTACTTTGATACTATACATATTGTTCAATTTCTAATGATATCTTC